CATGGAGCATCCATCCCAACAAATAAATATGGACACAAAACAAGGTTATCTCACCATTAATTGTTATGTTGGGTGGCTCTCTTGGTGGGGGAAATTCATTCAGATAGGAACAGAATGAACATAGGATGCCCCATAACCATATATATTAAGGATACATCAAAGTTTAAGAAAGCTGTTCTAGTATGCAAAACATTGACAGCACTGAAAATGTTCATTTCAAATTAAAGATATATAATAAAATCAACATAAATGAGTAATATCTTAAGATTTCAGTTTTAAGGAGAATATAATTTTAGAAATTCCTTTAAATGTTTTAACTTCTCTGTTTCAGAGATAAAAGCCTATATTTTTTATCTTTTAAAAAATGAAACTTCTAATTTTAATTGTAGATTCACATGAAGTTATAAAAACAATGCAGAGAGATCCCATGTATCTTTTATTCAGCTTTACCCAATGGTAACATTTTAAGACTATAGTATAATATCACAGCCAGGATATTGACTATTGACAGTGACATAATCCATTGGTTTTATTCAGATTTTCCCAGTTTGAACTTTACTCATTTGTGTGTGTGTGTGTGTTTAGTTCTATACAATTTCATCACATGTATTGGCATTCACCTACCACAGTCAAGATACAGAACAGTTTCACCACAAAGACCTCTTATGTTGTTCTTTTATAATCACATCCATCTCCCTCCTCAAACTTCATTCCCATCTTTAAACCCTGACAACCACTAATCTGCTCTCCATCATTAAAAGTCTTTCATTTAATTAATATTATATAAACGGAATAATACAGTCCATAACATTTTGAGACTGGCTTTTCACTCAGTACAATTTCCTTGAAATTCATCTAGGTTGTTGCCTGTATCTATAGTTCATTCCTTCTTTTTTTTTTTTTAAGATTTTATTTATCTATTTGAGAACGAGAGAGAGTGAGTATAAGCGGGGGGTGGAGGGGCAGAGGGAGAGGAAAAAGCAGGCTCTCCACTGAGCACAGGTCTCTGAGTTCACGACTTGAGCCCAAGGCAGATGCTTAACCAACTGAGCCACCCAGGTGCCCCAGTTCATTCCTTCTTTACTGATGAATAGTATTCCATGATGTGGACAGACAGACACAGTTTAATTGTTTCCCTATTGGAGGATACCTGGGTTGTGTCCAGTTTTGGGTTATTACAAATACAGCTGTTAAGAACATTTGTGTATAGTTTTTGTGTGAAAATAAATTTTCCTTGCTCTGAGATACATGCTCAAGAGTGCAACTGCTGGATAACTGAAAACAGTAACAAACTTTCCTAGAGTGATTATAACATTTTATATTCCCACCAGCAATTTATGAGTGATTCAGTTTTCCTATATCATTGCCAGCATATGGTGTTGTCACTATTTTTCATTTTAGCCATTCTGAGAGATTTGTAGTGTTATTTCATTGTGGTTTTAATTGTGTTTCCCTTTAATGACATTGAATACTTTTTCATGTGTTTATTTGCCACCCGCATGCCCTCTTTAGTAAATGTTTGTTCACGTCTTTTTTTTAACTTTCTTTTTTTATTTTCTTTAACTGTTGAGTTTTTAGAGTTATTTATATATTCTTGATACTAGTTCTCTGTCACATATATGCTTGCAAATATTTTCCCCTTCTGTAGCTTCTGTTTTTATCCTCTTAATAGGGTCTAAGAACTAAAACATTTAATTTTGGTGAGGTTAAATTCATAAATTTATAAGTTTTTCCTTTATGGATTGTGCCTTTGGTGTCAAGTCTCAAATATCTATGTTTAGCTGTAGATCCTGGAAATTTTCTCAAAATCTGTGTTCTTTCAACCAACTATGCAAGCTTCACATTACTGAGATTTTGTCTTGACCTCCAACATTGTCTATCCTACTTAGGAAAGAAAGTTTCAGAAACAGAGGCTAGAAGATCAAAATTTTCTTTCAGGAAGGTATCCTTGGTGATCTTAGCTAAGAGTTTTATTCTTCCTCTTCAATGATTATGAAGATACTCTGGAAGTCAGGGTAAATCCCACCACAAACTCCATAGAGCAAACAACCATTATCATTGCTTTCAAAATGAAATCAATCATCTGGTGGTTTTCTTTTCCTGATTATAATTGTAATCCTGATGATATTTGAGAAAGATTGGGTAATACAAAAAATTTCCCTGCATTGAAAAGGAACAGTATTAAATCAAAACTACAATGAGATATCACCTTACACTAGTCAGAATGGCTAAAATTAACAACACAGGAAACGAGATGTTGGAGAGGATGCAGAGGAAGGGGAACACTCTTACACTGTTGGTGGGAATGCAAACTGGTGCAGCCACTCTGGAAAGCAATATGGAGGTTCCTCAGAAAGTTGAAAAGAGAACTTTCCTATTACTCAGCAATTGCACTACTAGGTATTTACCCAAAGGATACAAAAATACTGATTCCAAGGGGCACATGCACCCTGATGTTTATAGCAGCATTATCAACAATAACCAAATTATGAAAAGAGCCCAGATGTCCATTGACTGATGAATGGATAAAGAGGTGGTATTTATACACACACACACACACACACACACACACATTACTCAGCCATCAAAAAGAATGAAATCTTGCCATTTGCAATGACGTGGATAGAGCTAGAGAGTATGATGCTAAATGAAATAAGTCAGTCAGAGACAGACAAATACCACATGATTTTACTTATACACGGAATTTAAGAAACAAAACAGATGAACATGGAGGGGGGGAAAGAGAGGCAAACCAGGAAACAGACTCTTAACTATAGAGAACAAACTGAGGGTTACTGGAGGGAAGGTGGGCAGGGGGTGGGCTAAATGGATGATGGGGATTAAGGAGGGCACTTATTGTTTGTTTTTTTAAATAAAGATTTTATTTATTTGACAGATAAAGACAGTGTCACCCAGAAGTCAATGCCAGAACTAGACATCACCCAGAACTAGTATCAACTGCCACACTTTAGACATCACCCAGAAGTCAATACTATTAACGTTTTGCTGTATTTCTTTACAGTCCTAATTTGTAATTGCCATGTACTCTTTCACTGCGTACTTGTGCTCCTCCTGGAATGTATCATGTTCTGTCACCTTGGCCCCTTTCCTCACATTATTCTTCTAGAATACACTCTCCCTGTCATGTTCCCACCTGACTTCTCATCAGGCAATGCACACTTCTCCCTTTGTTCAGTTAACTCATTTCCTTCCTGTATTTTCTGTTTGAACATTACTTTCTCTGTTAAGTCTTCCGGCGTCTTAAACCAATCTTATATGCCTGGGCACCACCATTGTACCTCTATCGTCACTGTGAGTATAAAACTGCTTGTCAGACTCTACTATAGACTTTAAGCTCTTACAAGACAAGGGACAAATTATTCATCACTGTATCAAGATTGCAGGAATGCTTCTGATATGTAGGTAGCAGGTTTCTAACCTTGGAGATACACAGAAGAGAGAGGAGTATAGAGCTGAGAGACAACGAACATTATCTGTTCATCAGAAGAGCTGAGAGACAACGAACATTATCTGTTCATCAGAAGAGCTGAGAGACAACGAACATTATCTGTTCATCAGAAGAGCTGAGAGACAACGAACATTATCTGTTCATCACAAGACATGCTGTCTTGGGGATTTATTCTCTTTTGTCTTACTTTCAATCCTAAAGAAATGTTGTGGGTTCTAGAGTCCACAGTAAGTGAAAGTAATATTATGTTGAATTTAGCCAGGCACCAAAGTGCCATGATATCACCAAATATCCTGAAAATGTGGTTTGAATGTAGCCTAAACTAGACAATCCAGGTAAACTAAGTCCTTTTGATTCTGTCTTCCCCATAGTTTTTAATAGAAGCAGAATTTGTATGTAACTTACTTCTAATAGCTTTAGTGGCAAAAAACCAAACTTGTAGCAAATGAGGTTGATGTTATATGAAAGAGGACTCCTTATTGGTAAAGCCAATAATGACATCGCTTTCCTGTGTCTTGCAAGAAGTTGCTGCGGCCGAGGTTGGAGGTTACTGTCCATGTTCTCCTCTAGGATTTTGATGGAATCTTATTTCACATTTAGGTTTTCATCCATTTTGAGTTTATCTTTGTATATGATGTAAGAGAATGGTCCAGGTTCATTCTTCTGCATGTGGCTGTCAAGAAGTTAAAGATAGAGCTACTCTACAATGCAGCAATTGCACTACTGGGTATTTACCACAAAGATACAGATGGGGCACCTGCACCCCAATGTTCATAGCAGCAATGTCCCCAATAGCCAAACTGTGGAAGGAGCCTAGATGTCCCTCAACAGATGAATGGATAAAGAAGATATGGTTCATATATACAATGGAATATTATTCAGCCATCAAAAAGGATGAAAATCTACCATTTACATTGATGTGGATGGAACTGGAGGGTATTATGCTAAGTGAAATAGGTCAATCAGAGAAAGACAATTATCATATGGTTTCATTCAAATATGGAATATAAGGAACAGCACAGAGGGTCATAGGGGAAGGGAGGGAACATTGAATGGGAAGAAATCAGAGAGGGAGACAAACCATGAGAGACTCTTGACTCTAGGAAATAAACTGAGGGTTGTGGAAAGGGAGGTGGGTGGGGGATGGGGTAACTGGGTGATGGACATTAAGGAGGGCATGTGATGTGATGAGCACTGGGTGTTATACACAACTAATGAGTTGTTGAACACTATATCAAAAACTAATGATGTACTATATGTTGGCTATTTGAATTTAAATAAAAAAAAATAAGTAGGAATTGGGCTGAGTCTCTGGAGCATGCTGTTAGGAATAAAGCTCAGTTCAGTATGGGGCTGAGAATAACCATGAGATTTAATAATGTTTGCATGCCTAATTGACAGGCTTACAGAGAAATAAGTATTTAAAGCAAAAACCTTGCTCTGAAGAAAATTATGGGGACATGCACACACACACACACACACACACACACGCCATATACACACCCCAACAACCCAGCAACATTGGTTCTGCTTAATTTGCAATTCTCTTCAGGGTTTTTTTCAGAGCACACTTGACATCCTTGTTCCTTAGACTATAGATGAGAGGGTTCAACATGGGTACTACATTGGTGTAAAATACTGAGAAGAACTTCCCCTGGCCCATAGAACCAGCAGGAGAGGTCTTGAGATGTGTGAACAACCCAGATCCATAGAATAGGCCAACAGTTACTATGTGGGAGCCACAAGTGCTGAAGGCTTTGGACCAACCCTGAGCTGATGAGACGTGGAGGACACTGGACAGGATCAAAGCATAAGAAATGAAAATAATGAAGCTGGATATTATGACAACTGTGCCTACAATAACAGAAGTCACCAGCTCACTGGCATAGGTGCTGCTGCAGGAGAGCTGGAGGAGGGGAAAGATGTCACACATGTAATGGCTGATGATGTTGGAATCACAAAAGGACAATCTGACCATGTCCCCTGTGTGGACCATGGCACCAGCAAACCCCATCACATAAGAACCAAACATCAGCAGAGAACAGACCTGAGAGGACATGGTGACTGTGTACAGCAGGGGTTTACAGATGGCCACATAGCGATCATAGGCCATGGCTGTCAACACATAGCTCTCAGAATGGACAAAGAAACAGAAGAAAAACAGCTGAGTCATGCATTCTGTAAAGGAGATGATATTTTTTTCTGACACAAAGTTCATCAGCATTTTAGGTGTAATGACCAAAGAGTGGCAGAGATCTATGAAGGATAAGTTGAAGATGAAAAAGTACATGGGAGTGTGCAAATGAGAATTCAGACAAATTAGATTAATTAAGCTCAAATTCCCTACCACAGTGACCACATAGTTCAGTAAGAAGAGAAAGAAAAGGGGTAACTGGAGCTGAGATTGATCTGTAAGTCCTACCAGGATGAACTCCATCACTGAAGAGTCATTTTCCATAGTCACTATCTGCAGGTCTGTGATCTGTGAGGAAACGAGAGGTGTCACATCAGGAAGGGACTCAGACCCTTTGCTTCTAGAGTAAGGCCTTGTTCTGCAGGGACTCGAGTGTGGCTGTTGGGACAGAGCCCTGAAAGAAGAGCCAGGGCAAGGATTCTTCATCTTTAACTTCCTACTCTTGCTTGTCCTTTTCTTCCATGTTTTCAGATCTCGACTATAACTCCTCACCTTCCCTGGGCTGACACAGTCCAGGGTGAAATCTTTTAGCATGAACACCAAAAGTGATGATCACATGTGAGAGATGAAGCAATATCTTGAAGAGATGAATAGGCTGGTCAAGGTCATACAGATAGAGAACAGAGGAGCCAACAGTTGTACTTGGGACCACTTCCTGTGAAAATCCCTGAAGCTCCAAGACAGTAAAGTTACTGTGATACCCACTGCTCAACCCACTCTCTCTCCCTTTTACCTTTCAGAAACTCAGTACCCAGCTTAGTGAAAGTGCTAAGAGGTAAAAAGGCTCGGAGAGATTAAGTAACTTTTCCAAGATCACACATGTAGTAACTGGAGAAATTTGAATTCCCCTGTTGTCGTGAACTTCTCCTGCCCATTCCCTTTATCCAGTCTTACCTCAAAATCCCAATGAATTGTTTAGGAAGGACAAGTGGCCTCCCTACAACTCTTCACTGCTGTAGCCATGGGTATGAAAACATTAGAAGGACTCAGTTGCCCAACTTTCTTTTACCTGGAGACCTCACTGGCGCCAGACTCCTAAGTGTTCTTTTCCTTTCACTGTCCCGAAGGAGTCAACGACTCTGAATATGGAGAAGCCAATACCCCTTCTGTTTGTGGATTTGCATAAAACATCTTCAGGGCAAGGCAAATGCATCAATTTATGTCTCCAAACCATCAGCCGGCTAATATTGTGAATTTATCTTATTCTCTGTGGATCTCAGCAACTTGTTCAGAATCTTGAAACAAGGCTCATTTAGCATCGAAGTTTGATCAGGCTCCTGAGGGAAGAAATTACTGAGCTTATGTGTACATCCTTTGCCAATAAGTTAACATTGGTTCCCTTGGTACTCAATGTTCTCCAAGCATCAGTTCACATTAAAAATTTTGGGTCCTCTGTGCAGAGAGGGAATAACTTCATTTGTGTTCCTAGTTATCCTAGAGCTCATGCTCAATTATAAAAGAGGAGTATTCAGGGGCAGAGCCATTACCATTCCCAACACTTTTTTTTCATTTTTCTGTGATTGGTATAGAATTATGTCATAACTTTATACTATCCATCTTTTGGTGTATTTCATATTTATAGAAAAGTATAATAGAGAAATATTAAAAGAATGAACTCTGGGGGGTACCTGGGTGACTCGGTTGAGCACCTGACTCTTGCTTTCGGCTTGTCTTGATCTCAGGGTTGTGAGATTGAGCCCCACATCGGGCTCTGTGCTCAGTGCAGAGTCGGCTTGAGAGATTCTCTCTCCCTCTCCCACTCCCTCTGCTCTTCCCCCAGCTCGTTCTCTCTCTCTAATTAATAAATAAAATCTTAAAAAAAAAGAATGGGTTCTGGAGTCAAATTAATCAAACTTGAATTCAAATTCCTCCACTTACAATGTGTGTTATCTTGGACAAATTACTTAATCACTCTGGTGCTTATTTTACCTCATCTACACTATAAGTTTAATAATAGTTCCTACTTTTTTAGATTGCTTTGAGGATCAAATGCCTCATAATCTCTAGCACATTTAGCACAGTGCTTGGTATATGGTAAGTGTTAAGTATTAGGTTTCCTTCCTCTTTATCCTTACCTGTATCTATACATGGATCTCTTCCCCAAGTTTCTAATTCTGTATCCAACTGTTTACTAGACATCCCCACTAAATTAAATTCAGCATCTCCTTGTGGTCCCAGAACTGTTTCTCTTCTTGTTATCCTTTTCTAAGTTAATGGCATCATCCTTAATCTAGAGAGCTAATCTAGAAATGGGTTGTCATTCTGGGTTCCTCCTTCCCATTAACCATTAGCATCTGATCTTCGAAGTTTACATAATTCTATCTCCTTAAAGTCCCTGTTTTTTAACCTTCCTCTTCACTATACTGCCTTTGATAAAGCTCTCTTGCCTCAAGTTTGGAATATTTTAAAGGTTTTTTAACTTGGGATCCTACCATCACCCATTATATTAGCTTTTTATTGCTGTGTAATAAATTACTGTAAACTTAGTAGCTTGAAATAACACCCATTTATTAGTCATAGTTCTATAGGTTAGAAGTGTAGTACAGAATGTCATGCTGGATTCTCTGTCCAGGCTGAAATCTGGGTGTGGGCAGGACTGCATTCCCTTCTGGAGACTCAAGCTCATTCAGGTTGTTGGCAGAATTTGGTTCCTTGAAGTCTCCATTCCCTTGCTGGCTAACCACTAGGGGTCACTCTCAGCTTCCAGACGCTGCCTGTATTCTTTGTATAGCCCCCTTGTCTTCAATCCAGCAATAACACATGAATCCTTCTTGTGCTTTGACTCTCTCTGACTTCCCTTTCTGCCACTAGCTTGAGAAAAACTCTCTGCCTTTATAAAATGTTTGTGTGATTGGGTGGCCTGCCCTGATAATCTCCCTAATTTAACGTCAGCCATGCCATATAACATATCACAGTCACTAGAGTGATATCTCATTATATTTACAGGTTCCCCTCACACTCAAAGGAGAGAGGATTATACAAGGGAAAAAGTCATTAGGGAGTCATGTTTTAGAATTCTGCTGTCCACCACTATCTTCTCTGGAAATCTATTCACACATTTTGTATAGAATTATCTATAGAGATTGCAACATTTCCTTGCTTAAATCCCTTCCTCTTCCCTCCCAACACAAGTGCAAACCCCCCAGCCTGTCAAAGAAAGCTCTCTAGAGTTTGCTTCCTAACTGCATCCACAGCTTTATCCCCCATGTCTCCACTCCTTGAACTGTACTCTCCAGTAATACTGAAGAGTCTGAATTCCTCTCATACATTCTGATGATTTCTTGGCTCCATCTTGTCTCATCTGCCTGGAATGCCTTCTCCCTTCTTCCTCACTTGGATACCACATACTCATTCTCCAAGATTCAGTCCTGCCCTCATTTCTGATGGAACATCTCTTCTGATCTCTTCCCCTGTCCCCACTCTCAGCACCTGAAGTGCCTTCTCTGTATGCTGCTGAGGCATCTTGTGCATGTTCCCACTTAAACACAACAAACTTACCTGTGTATCTTCATTACACTTAGACTGTACACTCCCAGAGGGCAAGGATTCAATCTTACTCATTTTTATCCATGCTGCTATGAACAGATTTCTTCCTTCTTTCTCCCCTGCCCTTTCTGTCCCTCCCTCCCATCTTTAATTTCATATTTCTAAATAACATGCATTTGCTTCTCAATTTGTCAGTATTAGGCCTTGTCAATTGACTTTAAGTTTGGGAAATGAAATTTAGCCAGTTTTCACCTTCCACCATCACAAATATACTTCCCAGTGTTTTCATCCTCCCAATAGAGTTTTTTAAGTTAGATCAATATTCAGTATTTACATGACTTATAAAGATGTACATGTTCTGCATACCTTTTTTTAAAAAAATATTTTATTTATTTACTTGAGAGAGTGCTCGAGCGCTCACAAGAGCGGGGGGTGGGGGGTGGGGGAGGTGCTGAGGGAGAGGGAGAAGCAGACTCCCCGCTGAGCAGGGAGCCCATGCCAGGCTCCATCCCTATCGCAGGACCTGAGTTCATGACCTGAGAGGAAGGCAGATGCTTAACGAATGAGCCACCCAGGTGCCCCTATGCTCTGCATATCTAAGTAGTAAAATATGCTGATTACTTTTCCTTTACAATCCTTGTTCTTTTTTTTTTTTAATCCTTGTTCTCTCTACAGTAAACAACAGTCTGGATTTTTTGTTGGTTCAACTTTCTATGTTCTTACAATTAATCTCAACACTCTCCCCCAGTTGTTTAAATCATCTTTCAATACTTATAAAAACTGTTAAGTGTTCAAAATCAAATATACATAATTAAAATACAGTAAGTTTCTATCTCACTCATTGGCAGTCCAAGACATGGTTTCTAAATCATAGACAGCTTCCTAAACATAAAAACTTGGACCTAAAATCCTTTTTGTAGTTCTGTCACCTTCAACAAGTACCCTTTTTTTTTTAAAGATTTTATTTATTTATTTGAGAGACACAGCAAGAGAGGGAACAGTTTTCTCCGTTGTAAATTTACTATTTTTCCCTTTTCCTACTCAATTCTTTAGAAGTAAGTCACTATGTCCAGGAGAGAGGAATTAAGTTCTACTTCCTTGAGAGGAGTTATCTAGATATATATATATTTGAAATTCATATGGATTCATGTATATTTACTTTATTCTTTGGGTTATAATCCAATAGCATCATTATTTATTTTGTTTTCCAAATAATTCCAGCTTTGGTTCTTAAGAACTCCCAGGTTAAATCCTATGAATTTTTGACCATGATGCCATCCCCTTTTAAAAAATCAATTTTTTACTCTCTGACACTATAATATGTTTCAGAATCATTCTGAAATTTCCTTGGCCCAACTCTAAAATGAATCATTTCTCCAAGGAACCCTAGTTCTTACCAGAGAACACTATTCAGAAATAAGATCTGGGTGCTGGATGTGTTCATTGATACTAGGATATCACTGTTTCTAGGTCCTCTGAAGCTGCCTCAGCCCATCCCACCAACCTAGTAGTCTTTAAGCTTTAGGAAGCACCCTTACCACAAATGAATGATTAACCTTTCTTTGTATTATCTATAGATCATGCATTCTTTCCTAGAAAGAACAGAACACCTCTGCTGGTCAGGAAACAGAAACCAGACCCCCTTGTACAACTGCCATAATCAAGAGCATGTAATCAAGAAATGTTAGGGACCACTGTACTCCCTTTATTAACTGCTCTAAACTCCTTCAAACCCCCCAGGCCAGGCAGGAACCTCGGAGTTGGCCTTCAGACAAGAGCACCCCTTCTACCCAAGTGGCTGGCCTCCTGAATAAAGCTCATATTCCTTTCCAATCAAAACTCTTGTGTATTGGCTTTTTGAGGGACAGGCAGCTGAACTTGGATTTTGGTAACACTCTCAGTGGAAAGGGGCGGGAAATATGTTGTGTATTCAAACTCTTGTGTGTGTCTCCATATCTAATTATTTCTATATTCATCTATCTTAATATATAATAGAAACATGAATTAATACTGTTATCTCCAACTCTAATCTAGCAACACAAGGTTCATTATAGCCTTCCTCTTTTGCCTATTTGTATCTTATTTCTGTGACAATGGGAAACATGGCTCCATTAGCCACCATTTATTTACTTATTTGACTAGATATCGTTGTTTTTTTTTTTGCCCTTTAATGTCAACCTTGAACAGTGTTTGTTAGATTCATTCTTTTTTTTAAAATTTTTTATTGTTATGTTAATCACCATACATTACATCATTAGTGCTTGATGTAGGGCTCCATGATTCCTTGTTTGTGCATAACACCCAGTGCTCCATTCAGTATGTGCCCTCTTTAATACCCATCACCAGGCTAACCCATCCCCCCACCCTCCTCCCCTCTAGAACCCTCAGTTTGTTTTTCAGAGTCCATCGTCTCTCATGGTTCGTAGATATCGTTAAGTTTAAGGTAAAAAGAAATGTGTAAAACATTGTACTTTAATTGCTAAATTTATTTTTCACAAGAGTATATTTGCGACTCTGACCCTCTGTTACATGCATACCGGATACCGGGATTGATTAATAATAAGTTTTAACAGAAATTTTGTCATACTCAAAGCCTTTTCCTGGCTGACCTGCTTATGATTAATAAAGATGATGTCGCCCCCAGGGCAAACTGCTCGCCTAGCCCGCGCCCCGCCCCACCCCGCTTCGTCTCTGTGCGCTGGGCGGCTCCACCCGGGCTTGGAGCCAAAGGGAGCCTCACCAAAGCCTACCCGGAGCACGGGAGCCGGTGCTCTGGGTGCCCCCTGTGCCGGAGCGCAGGGGCAGCCTCACCCTTACCTTCCCCTGGGGAGTCTCCGAAGACCCGGCTGTCTGTCGGAGGAGGCGGCTGGCGACCCCATGCAGGTCCTGTGCGAGGGCTCCTGAGCTTCTGCAGATGCTGAGCCCCAAGGGTGAGGGGCACGCAGAGGACGAGTCCATGACCTGACGGCGCCAGAGAACCGGCAGCCCGAGAGCCCCAGCGGCCTTCATGGGCCCAGGTGACAGCGTGGAGGCTGCGGGAGGAGCGGGTCCGGTTGGTCATGTGCGGCCTCCACCAAGGCCAGTACCTTGTACCACAGCAACCTGAGAGATGACTCGAAAGCCATTCTGGAAAGTACTAGCGCCCACGGCCAGAAGCACCATGGAGTCCCTGCCCCGGCCCACGGCAGCCCTGAGCTAGGCCGCCCACCAGCTGCGTGCAGCCTGGCCCCTGACACATCCGACAGGACAAATGTTCGGCCATGTTCCGCTCAGCCTGGGGACACAGGGCCTGCTGAGCTGCACACACTGCCCACCTGCGGCGCGGAGGAGCGAGGCAGGCTGAAGCACTGCGTGGAGAGCATGCGCAAGGAGAAGCGTCGGCCGCCGCTTGGAGGTCTTCTGGGTAAAGGAGCAGTGCGGTGGCCCCGAGCAGGGGAGAGGCCCCGGCAGAAGACACCAGGGAAAGCAAGGCAGGAAAGTTCATGCCCAAGATCCTGGGTACATTCAAAGGCAAGAAGTAAGTCTTCTGGCCCACCAGTTCAGGAGGGGGTGTCCGCATCCCTGCTACCGATGAGGCAGAGCCCCTGGCCCTCCTGCCACAGTAATTTGGAACCCAACTGAGCACAGGCAAAGCTCGGCTCCACTTGGGACTCACTGTGGATGCTCTGTCTCCTTCCCCTCTGCCTTTCTATCCTTGAGGCCCCAGCTCCTCAATGCCCCATGCCTTACACCCCCTTCCCCCACTTCCATCCTTTTTTAGCACCTGTCTCTGGGCCCTCAGCCACCTCTTTATGCATCTGCCTCCACCCTTTTAGGCCTTCATTCAAATCAGGGAGCCATCCCTTCATGCCTTAGTCCTCCATCTTTCCCGGCGGGGGGCATCTTTTTGTGCTTTAGGCCCCCATTCTCTCAGGGCTTTGTGTTTTGGGGCTTCTGTGATCTCAGGGTTCCCCTCTGTTCACAGCCTTCTGCTTTGCATCTTTACTCTGCCGCCTCTGTACTATTCTCCTGGCACCCCGTCCTCTCTCTCAGGACCTCCCACCTTGCACAGGTCCTTCTCAGGGCCTTTTCTCTCCCATCTCCATCTCAAATTGGTGAGGTCTCACTTGCCCTGGTTGGATTCTCATTTTTTTGGCTGCCCTCGTAGCACCTTCCTTGGTGGCCTGTCCTTTTGCTGTGGGGAAGCAAGAGCTGGTTGCAGGCAGTTTTTGAGGGAGGGGTGAGCCAGACCCAAAGGGTGCCTCTCTCAGGAAGTGCAGTAGGGCCGGTGCAGGCAAGGGGGCAGGATACAGAGGATCCCTGAGAGGCTGCCCTGTCAATGCCAGCTGAAGCAGATCTGGCTCACTCCTCCAGCAAGGCTCCAGCTGGCACCTGGTGGGGAGTGATAGCATTGGGCTTTGCAGCACAATAAAACTCAATCCGGATAGATGATGATACCCCAGCTTCATGAAGGATCCCCAGCATCCTCTGACAGACACACATTCACGGGCCTATTGCCAGCTCTGCCAGGAAAGGGGTTGGATGAGGACGGCTTCTTCTTGAACAGGTGAGGGCAGGGGACAGAGGATGGTGGTGCCTGAAGCCCAGCCCACTGCTCCACTGGGTCCTGGCACACTATGAGATGGGAGTAGTCCTTGCCCTGCAGGTACCCAGCAGACCCCAACTTCACCATGTTGTTGGTTTTCTCCTCTTTGTCACAAACCTGCAAAATCTGTCCAAGTTTCTTTTCTCGCTTTTCCTGTATCTTCACCTCCAGAGAGTAACTTTGATTTCGAATGAGACATTTTGGCATTAAATGCTTAGAAAGTCTCCCACTGTAGTTTCTAGCACTGTGAAATTAGTGTTTCTGCTATTTCTTTTCTGATAGTTGTGTTTTTGGTTTTTTTTTAAAGTGTAAGAAATTACAAGAGCAAAAGGATTTAAGAAACAAGGCCATTCAGCAAAGGCAGCAGTTCTGAGAAGCTGGAGAAGGGAGGATGGTGGTGTTTGGGGGACACTTTCACTCCCTCACAGCTTATTGTCTGTTACCAAAGCCACCTCTTAGGTAGGGGTGACAGCAGGGACTTTTTGGGGTGGAAAAAGTCATGTTTGTTTTTGTGCAGCCTGGTGTGTTGCTGTTCTGAGCAGGCTGTTCTAGGCCTGTTATTAAGGGAGAACCTTTGCAGGAAGTGGAGCATTCTGTCCACGCAGGGGCCAGGGTTTGGGAGTCCAGCCAGAGCCCTTGGAGCTTCTGTCTGCATCCTCTCACATCTTGTTAAATAAGACATCTCTTAAAATGTGATTCTTTACATTTTGGTGTTAACAACAAAACACAACACACACACACACACACACACACACACAAATAATGATGTGCACTTTCAGAAAGAGTAATGGTAGGACATACCTTGTGTTCCCCTTGTTATTGATTATAAGACCAACTAAATTCTGGGTGTCCCAGTCTTTATTCTTGGAGGAGGAAGATTGAGAGTCTTGACTTAGGTTGGCTTAAAGAAAATTCCAAGATGAATAATGTAATAAGATCATAAGAGGAACAATGTATTACATCATGGTGTAATAATTTTTTACTGTTTTCGCCACAAAGAATACCAATTTTGACAATCACCCACAGATGAGAGAGCCTTTGTGGAAGTCCAAAAGCTTAGCCCAGAAGTACCAGCACACTACTGGAGCAAAAAAAATCCAAGATTGGATGCATTGAAGAGGGTAAGAGGAACAGTTTCACTTTACCTATGTCCTGCCTCTCCCAAGGCAGCATAGCTCATTGTCAAAGGAGGTGTTCTTATAACCTGTGACTTGTGATTCCTTCCACTGGGAAAAGTAAGAGCATGTTTCCTCATCTATGGGAGACACTGCCAAAGAGATCCACTTCTCATCCCATTCAGATTGCTGAGGTATATTGTGTGACTGAGGGTGGGTGTGTCTGGGAAGGTAGCAGGTAGGATTGTTGGAGGGCATCAAAGGGATGTGGATCCTACTAATTATACCATGGACTCCATTGGGAAGCTTGTTATTGCGCCACTGGGGTTGTCCTCAAGTAGTCACGGGCACCCCCTGCCTCTGTGCACCTTACCTACACATAACCACATAACCCCATCCTGTAGATGGTTTTCTCCTGGTTTTCCATTATGTGCTTCCAGTGATAGTAAGCCTTTGCAGATGGCTAGTAATCACATGCAGAAAGGTGGCCCAACTGCAGACTGGGGAAAAATCACACACTTGAGCATTCAGTCCCACCCTAGGGAAAGCAAAAAGGAGGCTCTCAGCAACTAACCTGGCTTTGCAGGATGGAGGAAAGGCATACAAGTTTAAGAATTCTGTCATAAGATGAAATAAGAAGTTTGGAGCAGGAATAACCATAGAAGAAGTCTGAGAAAGCCTCAGAATCACTAGCAGGGGTGACAGAAAGTAATTCTCTGCTAAAGCAAGTCAGAAATACTGAAGGAAGTAACTGCTTCTTCATATATGAACATAACAGCAGTCTTCAAGGAATATGAAAAATCAATGTAACCTGACACCACCAAAGGAACACAATAATTTTCTAGAAATAGATCCCAAAGAAATGGAGATCTGTGATTTGTCTTATAAAGAATTCAGAATAGCTATTTTAAGGAAGCACAATAAGCTACAAGAAAAAAACACATAAAGACAATTCAGTGAACCATGAAAACAATACACAAACAAAATGAGAAGTTTAACATGGAGATAGAAACCATCAGAAAGAAGCAAACAGAAATTCTGGAGCTGAAGAATGCAATGAATGAAATGACAAATGCAGGAAAGAATATCAGTATCAGACTGGATCAAGCAGAAGAATGAGTCTTTGACAGGATATTTAAAATTATGCAGTGAGAACACAGGAAAATAATAAAAAGGGATAAAGAAAGCCCATGTGGGCTATGGGATACCATTAAGAGAAACTAGTAGACATTATTGGAGTTCCAGAAAGAGAAGGATGGAGAAAGAGGAAAAAGCTTGGTTAAAGGAATAATGGCTGAGAAGTTCCTAAATCTGGGGAGAGATTTGGACTCCTAACTTCATAAAATTAATAGTTCACCCCAATATTTCCACCCAAAGTGATCTTCTTCAAGACATACTATAATTAAGCTGTTTAAAATCAAAGATAATGGAAAGAATTTTCAAAGCAGCCAGAGGAAAAATAACCCTCATATACCAGGAAACCCTCCATAAGGCTATCAGCAGATTTCTTTGGAGAAACCTTGAAATGCAGGATCGTACACTCAAAATACTGAAAGAAAAAATTGTCAACTAAGAATACCTTACCTAGTAAAGTTATCTTGCAGAAATAAAGGTAAGATAAAGACTTTTCCAACAAACAAAAACTGAGGTAATTCATTACCACTAGCCTGCTTTATAAGAGATGCTGAAAGAAGTGCTCTGAGCTGAAACAAAAAGACACTAACTAGTAACATGAAAACATTAGAAAATATACAACACACTGGCAAATATAAATATATTTAGTCAAATTCAGAATACTCTAATACTACAACATGGTGGTTAAGTACTTAACTCTAGTAAAGGTTAAAGGACGCAAGTATTAAAAATAACTATAGCTACAATAATTTGTTAAAGGATATACAATATAAAAAGATAAATTGTGACATGAAAAACAAAATATGAGAAGGGAGTAAAAGAAGAGAATTTTTGTATATGTGATTGAAGTTGTCACCTTAAAATAGACTAATGTCTATAAGATATTTTATGTAAGTCTTACAAGTAACCATAAAACAGAAGCCAACAATGGATACAAAAGGATAAAGAGAAGGGAGTTGAAGCATACCATTACAGAAAGTCGTCAAGTCACAAAAGAAGACAGCAAGAGAGGAAGAGAGGAAGGGAACTACAAAACAGCCAGAAAATAATTAAGACGGCATTAATAAGTCCCTACCTATCAATAATTACTTAAAATGTAAATGGTTTAAATTTTCCAATCAAAAGGCATAGAGTAGCTGAATAGGTAAACAAACAAATGAAAAACAAGACTTAACTATATTTTGCCTACAAGTCTTACTTCAGCTTTAAGGATACATAGACAATAAT